CTTGGAACCACTGGCAATAATCATTTATCTGAATTTTGCAAATAGAGTGACAGCCATTCATAGACATGAGAGATAACTTGATCAGTTCAATTCTTCGGGTGTTATACATGAACTTTCTTTTTCTTTCCCTGTCTTGCTCCTCTCTAAGTACAAAAGTGGAGAAGATAAATGAAAAGAGAATTTAGGAAGTTGAACAAGATCTAAACCAAGGAGAAGACTAGATATAAATGTAAGTGATTCCATTTTTATATAATTTAAAATGAAGCTGAAAACAATTTATAAGGATTGTTTAGCATGTACCTACTTTCTAAAGAAATCAAAATCTCTGAATACACAGTAAGATTACCCGTATATTCCGGCATATAAGACGACTGGGCGTATAAGACTACCCCCAACTTTTCCAGTTAAAATATAGAGTTAAGACAACTCCCATGCATAAGACTACACCCATGTATAAGACGACCCCTGACTTTTGAGAAGATTTTCTTGGGTTAAAAAGTAGTCTTATATGCCAGAATATACTGTACATTAACTAATGCAAATCTACAGCTAATGATGATAAAACAGCATCTTCCTCAATAGTGATTTGCATTTTTGACTTAAATTATTTAAAATAGGTCCTTCAGAGAAGCAAGCATCCCAAAAGTGCGTAGATGGATACATATATAACACTGTTGAAAGGAAGAGCCGTTCTAAAAGTATGCTCATATTATTTTACTCAAAACATTGTTTCTCCAAGGTCACACATAAGAAAACCTAGTCCAGCAAGTATACTATTCAAGCCAAGTACACTATACAAACTACGCGTGGATGGCATTTGCTCCCCTCATTCCAATAATTTTTGCAACTCATTTTATGTTTTCTAAATAAAATTAATAATATCCAGATGAACAAAAATGAAACTTTAAGACCAACAGAAGGCAGGAAAGGGGACAAGGATAACACAATCAAGTTGGATATATGCTTCTTATTTACACTGACAAGATAGGAGGAAGCTGAGATGTAAAGTGGGTGGGTGGGAATCACTGTAATACTGCCCACATCCTATCAAGACAGACAAAATCCCTTACATTTTCTCTTAGGTTTGGAAAGAAGAAAAGCCACAGATCACCACCATAAACCACAATAATCACAAGCCACCTCAAACTCCAGTCCCAGGAGAGTACATCCAAATAAAAGAATAGATACAGACACTATCAAAACAGAATGTAAGAGATTTGTAAGAGAATACTTAAGAAAGGGGACAGTGATACACTAGTTTAGACTATTTTAGCCTGAAGCTGTCAGGACAAAAACATTGAAAATACGGGTTAGAGCAGTGGTTCCCAACCTTTTTTTGACCAGGGGCCACTCTTGAACATTAGTACCAAAAGGTTTACGAATCAGTTTTTGGTCAACTTTAGATTTGGTTTGGTTATTTGGGGTGCTGATTCAGAAAATTGTATTGGATAGACCACATCAGCTCTACTTTCTGATACGGAACATATGCCATCCAGTAATCACCATCTGCTTGCCCACAGAAAACCATATTTAATAATCTAGAGCTGATGTGGTCTATCCAATGCAAATTTCTGAACCAGCACCCCCAAAAAATCTGAGAACATGCCTAAAAATGAAGACACCAAGAATTTTTTGTTTGTTGGGCTATGTTATTATCTGTAGTAGTAACGGTGAGGGCGTGGACCATATTTTATTTCTTGTGGACCACTGGTGGTCCATGGGCTAGAGGTAGCTTCAGTGAGATCTGACATAGGCCGCATCTACACTGTAGATTTAATAATAATAATATTTATTTATATTTTGCCCTATCTCCTTGAGGGGATTCAGGGCACTGACACTACTTTAACTATCATGGCTTAATACTATAGAAACCTTGGATTTGCAATTTGGTGATGCACTACCACTCTTTGGCAGAAAAGGCTAAAAACCTTAGTGGTGGAATGATGGGGGCTGTGGTGGTGCACCAAGACCGTTAAAATTGTTGTCAAACTACAGGAATTCTACAGTGTAGATGCATCGTGGCTGGCAATGCCTTGTATACTCCCACGTCATTCTTGGCCCTCCTATTTAATCAACCAAAGAGAAACTATGAGTCATCAAGTTTTTCCATGGAGCACAGCTGAATTTAGATGGCCAGATATCACTGGAAAAATCTCACTCAAACTATTTCCAAAATGCATTTGTCTGATTATATAGCAGAACAATGTCTATTACAAAAGTAAACTGTGGCCACTACTGTATCTCAAAGTAGTCAGATTACAAGAAAGTTGAGGTTTCTTTGTGAAAAGTTAACAAGATCAGATTATTATTAATCTTGGGCCAAAAATAAACGAGCTTACTCTTGCTATCATAGGAAGGGAGTCTGAAGCTGTTAGGAATGGTGGGAGTTGAAGTCCAAAACACCTGGAGGGCCCAAGTTTGCCCATACCTGATCTACCCTGTTCAATTCATACAGTTCAGACACAGCTTTAATTGCCTTTGGCTCAAGGCTATGGAATCATGGGAGTTGTGGTTTTACGAGGGCTTTCGCCTTCTCTGGCAAAGAGGGCTGGTGCCTCACCAAACTACAAATCCCAAGATCCCACAGCATTAAGTTGTGACAGATTAAAAGATGTCAAACTCCACACAAACACAAACACAGAGAAAATGTATTTCCCTACTCTAAATGGTTTATTATTTCCTTTAAAAAAAAAAACAATTCACAAGTGATGCCTTCTGTCCTCAAATGTTTTGGTATGAACTGATCTCCCTTCAGTGATGACAATGTGCCTTAAGATCCCAGGCAGGAAGCATATGAGGCACTGTTTCCCCTCCTTTTCCTGTATAACTTCCTTTGACTTTCCTCCTTGATGCACATTTGCTTGTAATTATGGAGCCCATATGATGTTGACACTCTGGCACTTTAGTTTGAATTGATGGCAGCTAGTTTTAACTACTGATGGTTTTACATGTTTTAAATTGTGTCATTTTATTTTATTGTATGTGTTGATAGTGGGTTGTTTTATAATGTTTATGTAATATTGTTTTATACTCATGTATCGTTTATATTATATACTGCACTGCAGTGTCTTGTAAGCCACCCCAAGTCCCTTTTGGGAGATGGTGGCGAGATATTAATAAAGATTATTATTATTATTATTATTATTTATTAATTAGTCCATAACCAATAAGAGGTGACAAGATAGCATTCTGAACTGACAAACTGCAAAACCCTTGAGAGAAGTAACTTCTGCAGTCTAGCAGGGCACAAAAAACTGGGAACAGGGAAAAGGAAGGGGCCTGAGGCTGTTAGGAATAGTGCAAGTTGAAGTCCAAAACACTTGGTGGGCCCAACTTGGCCCATGCATGGTGTAGATCAGGCATGGGCAAACTTGGGTCCTCAAGGTGTTTTGTACTTCAACTCCCACAATTCCTAACAGACTCAGGCCTTTTCCTTTCCCCCCTCCACTGCTTAAGACTGAAAATAGTACCAGCAGAAGGGTGTGCACAGGCAAGGTAGGTAGGGATCACTATTGTGCCAAATCAGTAGTGGTATCAATAAAACTAAGGTCTTTCATTATATACTTCCATGTTATTTCCTGGCGCATCACAGCAGTCACTTGGAAATGCAATTGCAAGGGAAATAGGTTTCTCAGCTGTTAAACCGATGTACCAAGGTGTTGTTTTTTTATTTGGTGCCACTCTGCCTTCAATTAGACAATTCCCTAGACAGCTGGCCCCAGTGAAGACCCCAAATCCCTCCTCGCACTTTTCTGTACCCAAAGCCATAATGATTTATTTTACATTGTTATATTCTTAATTACTCCCATATGACCTTGCACTTTACTTACCAGTTCTATTCTCTAAATTTTTGTTGCACCAGTCTACCCACCCATTACGTGAAATGAACTTCATTATTGGTTGTTGGTTTTGATGCTTGCTTCTATATATTGTTATAATGTTGTTGTTGTATATTATATTGTACTTTACTATATTATGTTTTTAACTGTGCTGGTTGGGTTTGGCCCCATGTAAGCTGTCCTGAGTCCCTTCGGGGAGATGGAGGCGGGGTACAAAAATAAAATAATAATAATAATTATTATTATTATTATTTGAAACATAATAAGATGAGTCCACAGCAGACACACTGCTGGCTGTTGTATTGGATCACATGTCAGACACTTCCCAAGTGTCTAGGACTGTGTGATGTATCGGCGAATAATGCATGCAGATCCCAGTAAGGTGGCCTTTTGCAACTGGCAGATGGAAATCTTGTCAATGCCGATTGTGTTTAAGTGCAGGCCAAGGTCTTTAGGCACTGCACTCAGTATGCCGATCACCACTGGGACCACTTTGACTAGCTTGTGCCAGAGTCTTTGCAATTATTATTACTACTATTATTATCACCATCATCTTTGAACTGTTAGGGGCAAAGATATGCCAATGCACAAAAGCACACACACATATATAGCAGTTTCTGAAGTGTTCTTTCAGTTGCCCAAAAAAAAAATCTAATTCCCCATAAAATATCTTGGTTTTTAAATCATGCTCTTAAGAGACAGAAAAATAAGTGGACTTCTTTAAAAGTAACTTAGTTGGTTTACTCACAAACTTCATGTATTCAGCATCCAGGTACTTTGCATATCAATCCAGTTAGATAGGATTTGAAGTAGTTTCTGTGTGTAGATAACACAGAGCAGCGGAGGGGGGAAAGGAAAGAGTCTGAGGCTGTTAGGAATGGTGGGAGTTGGAGTCCAAAACACCCGGAGGGCCCAAGTTGGCCCATGCCTGGTGTAGAGGCACCCTGAAGTTATAGTATAGCTTAAGCTGCAGAGGGGGAAAAGGAAGGGGCCTGAGGCTGTTAGGAATGGTGGGAGTTGGAGTCCTGGAGGGCCCAAGTTGGCCCATGCCTGGTGTAGAGGCACCCTTCATAGTGCAGTGTAACCCTCGGCCCCACCCCTTCCGACAGACACAAGGCTAGTCCCCCGGTTTTGCCAAGCCGCTCCCTGACAAATCCTTACCTCGGGGGGAAACAAAGGCTTGCCAGGCCTCACCTGGGCTGGGATGGTTCGGAGAGGCCTCCTCCGGCCAAACTGGGGCAGGGCCCTTGGCCCCTGAGGCCCGGCTTCCGCGGCGACGGAGGCTCCTCTGAGGCGGATTCCTGCTCAGGAAGGCGGAGGGCGAGGCCAGCCCGAATTAGCAACTCTCCTCAGCGCTTGAGCTCCTCTTAATCGCGTTTGCAGGGAGGGCAGCGCGGGGCCGGGCCGGCTCTCTCCCCTTCTTTCCCTCTCTCCTCCTTCCTCCTTTTTCTCCTCCGAGCCGCAGAGTTTTGGGCTCGGCCCAGCGGGGGTGGGGCAGGGCTCTTGCGGCTGAGATTTGAGTCTGAGAGAGAAGGAGGGAGGGGACTGGAGAATGGGAGGCGAGACCATCCAAAGGGGCGGAGGATTTGGAGGGAGCGCCCTCCCCAGCCTTGCCCCCTTTCTCTCTTCCCTCCATCTTCTTGGGGGGGCTTCCCTCAGCGCCTGGGCACGGCTCAAGATTTTTTGCATTCTTTTTTAAAGTACCCTCTACACAAGACTCGAGGGAGTTGTAGTTTGGCCAAACACTTTTCGCCTCCTCTGTTAAATAGTGCTGGGGCCTTACCAGACTGCCAACCCCAGGGTCCCTTCACACCAGGGCTTTGCACACATTTCATGGTGGCCACAACGCTTTTCAAGCTGACATCATTTTGCAACACAGTAATTCACTTTTCCTTGCAAATCAATTGCATACACCAGGTCCTCCACCATCAAGCCCACCGGACTACCACGTTGTCTGGATACCCAACCACGGTCTCCCAAAACAGTTGCTCTATTCTGAACTCAAGAATGGAAAACGGAATGTTGGAGGACAGGAAAAGAGATTTAAAGATGGGCTTAAAACCAACCTTAAAAACTCTGGCATAGACACTGAGAACTGGGAAGCCCTTGAGCGCTCCAGCTGGAGGTCAGCTGTGACCAGCAGTGCTGCAGAATTTGAAGAGGCACGAATGGAGGGTGAAAGAGAGAAACGTGCCAAGAGGAAAGCGCGTCAAGCTAACCCCGACCGGGACCGCCTTCCACCTGGAAACCGATGTCCTCACTGTGGGAGAAGATGCAGATGAAGAATAGGGCTCCACTGCCAGGACACTACACTTGGAGGACCATCATCCTCAGACTACAAGGGATTGCCTAACTAAGTAAAACCTTTTCAGTCATTTTTGAAGCAAAGCTTTCTTGTGGAGCCCCAAGACTTGGCCACAATGGTCCATGCCTTACCTCTAGATTGGATTATTGCAATGAACTCTACGTGGGGCTGCCTTTGAAGACAGCCCGGAAATTGCAATTCGTCCAAAGTTGGCAGTCCACCAACATCCCATTTTCCATTCTTGAGCTGGGAGTATAGTAACTGCTTTAGTGATCAGACATCCGGACAATGCCCAATAGTGTTATAAGAGAGGGGTGTCAAACTCATTTGCCTTTAAAGGACCATTGAATACCTGGAGGAAAAATTCATGGATACAGAGAGCCAACTATATGTATTTTTTACATTGTAGTCCCCAGTGTCACTGAAGGACAAATCCTATATGTTGTTGTGCCACAGCACCTCCCTTCCCAAATTGATCCCAACCTTCAGAGAGATTCCAAGCAAGATATACAATTTTATTCTCCTTTTAAAAACATTTACTGCTCTTTCAAAGTTCTGCAATATCAAAGCCACTGGAGGCTTTGGAAGGACTCAACAGCAACTGTATAAACTTGTATCAAATGCAATATGAAGGCAAATGTATAAACTGGTATCAAATGTAATATGCAGGCATCTGTACCACCATTGCTCCCTATTTATATAAACTTCTGGAAATAGAGATTGCTAATCAGTTAAGGAACTTCCTCCAGCAATCTCCCAGAACAAATAAAACAAACACCACATAAATTGCCATGGTATAATGCTATCGAATCGGGAATTTTAGTTTGGTGAAACATCAGCTCTCTTTGAAAGGGAAGACTATGCTCACTGGAATTCTGTAATAATACTGCTATGTATTTTACTGTTTATTGTTGATGTTTGTCTTCAAATAATTTCCAATGACCTTAAAGTGGGTTTTTCATGACATTATTTGTGCATAAGGTTTTCTTTTGCTTTTTTTGCATCTGAGGCTGACTTGTCTAAGGTAACTCAGTATGTTTTCATGGCTGAGTGGATGCAATCTAGGACTCTAGAGTCATAGTCTAATGTTCAAACCATGGTGTCAAGTAGGTGTCTTCTTTGCCCAGCGTCATTAGAAGACCACATTAACTACTACACCTCCATCCTATGGAATACTGAAATTTGTAGTTTACTTTTGCACCAGAGCTCGCTGACAGAGAATGGTAAATATTTCATAAAACTGCAAATTCAGGATTTCCATAGCATGAACTGTGGTAGTTAATATGTCAAACTGCTATGATTCTGCAGTGTGGATACAGCCAAGGAGGCACACTTCTGAGTTATTCCCTTGCAAGGTGTTATACTTCACCTCATGGCTTTTCTTGTACTGTTTTATCTGTTAGGTTTAGGTCCTGTTTTTCTACCCAAAGTAAGACTTACAATAGAAAAATAAGGAAATCAGGAACAGCATACATACCCTTAGGCATTAAAGATAATACCGCAAATTTTAAATGCTGTGATAAAAGAAAAGAACATGCATTATGTACTTTAAAAAACCCTTCCCTCAGCAAGCAAGGCTTGTTGCTAACAGCCTGCTTGAAGACAGACTTTTGGCTCTCAGCAGAAAGAGAGTTAAGGATTTCAGAAATGGCAAGAAAGACCTTGCCTTTGTGTGTATATCCTGCTCCAAATGAGAAATGGGAAGAAGGGACAAAATAAAGTCTTGGTTCATAGTTGTACTCTTTTCAATGTGGCATTAGGACAGGATCACTAAATATATTAGGTTTTTGCCAATATGCATGCACTGGCCAAAAGTGCCAAGAATAGGAATGCACAGTTGCCTTAAGCAAGTCACATACAGCCTTAGGAGATAGGCAATAGCAAACCTCTGAATAAATCTTGTCAAGAAAAGTAGTTCATGTTGCAACCTGGGGCACATCTGTACTGCATACCACCATTTAGCATAGCTGGAAGGCAGCTTGACAACATGATGTTTGCATAATGCATACTTTAAACCGAGATAAGCAAAGTTGACTGATACTCCAGAACAGAGCCCTTAATACACATCAGTGCACTTTAATATAAACCACAATGCTTGGCAAAACTGATTTAAGGCAGTGTTTCTCAACCTGGGGGTTGGGACCCCTGGGGTGGGTTGTGAGAGGATGTCAAAGGGATCACCAAAGTCCATTAGAAAACACAGTATTTTTTGTTGGTCATGGGTGTTCAGTGTGGGAAGTTTGGCCCAATTATATCATTGGTGGGGTTCAGAATGCTCTTTGATTGTAGGTGAACTATAAATCCCAGCAACTACAACTCCCAAATATCACGGTCTATTTTCCCAAACTCCATCAGTATTCACATTTGGGCATATGGAATATTTGTGTGAAGTTTGGTCCAGATCCATCATTGTTTGAGTCCACTGTGCTTTCTGGATGTAGGTGAACTACATCTCCCGAATTCAAGGACAATACCCACCAAACCCTTCCAGTATTTATTGTTTCTGTGTGCCAAGTTTAGTTCAATTCCATGGTCGGTGGAGTACAGAATGCTTTGATTGTAGGTTAACTATAAATGACAGCAACTACAACTTCCAAAATCAATCTCTCCCCACAATCACACCAGTATTTAAATTTGGGTGTATTGGGTATTTGTGCCAAATTTGTTCAATTGAATGAAAATACATCCTGCATATCAGATATTTACATTACAATTCATAATGGTAGCAAAATTACTGTTATGAAGTAGCTACAAAAAATGTTATGGTTGGGGGTCACCACAACATAAGAAACTGTATCAAAGGGTCACAGCATTAGGAAGATTGAGAAACACTGGATTAAGGGATGGGCATTCTGCACATGGACAGTATAGAGGAGGGAAGCTGTGGAAAAAATGTATTTTCTGTGACTATGAAACCACTGATACTGCAGAAGTGCAGATCCTAGAACTAATTCAAGACCAGACTCTGTGGTGCATACAAGAACCATTCCAGGTCTTAGCATCAGATCAACTGCACATATGGAACTGCTTCCTCCTTTGCCAGTTACACACTGACCTAGGTGGTCAGTGTGGATGTGTCCATGGAGTTGATTCAAAGGCGCACAACAACAAAAACAAGTCAAGTTTGGGCTACGCTGAAGAGGGTCAGTTAGGTAGAGGAAGGGCCACCATGTATTCACCTAGATTTCAACTCACCTTTTGTACTTCCGGGACACTCACTGGTCACATCAACATACTCCTTCCTGAGCAATATATTTTTTTTAATTTTATGTAGGCATGTATGTAAAAAAGAACAGATTTTTCTTAAAGTAAGATCGCCGGTGTACCTTCCCATGCCCCTACTGCAAGTTAAACTGTAGCCAACCCCATGGGTGCCATGTCAAAGCAATGGAGCTGAGAATTGTGTCCTTCTGTTCTTGTTTCTGGCTATGAAACATTCTTCCATGGGAGGCTAGGCTGGCTCCTGATAGGCCAATTAAACTATTTGTTGTCAAAAGCTTTTAAGCTATGGCTGTAATGTTCACCCTTTTGAATGTTTTAAAGTATTTCAATTAAATGTTCGGTATTAATATTGTAAGTTACTTAATGATTTAAAATCATTTGTATTATAAACTGCCTTAGGCCATTTACTAGGTGAAAGGCGGGGTATTAAAATAAATCACTTGACATTTCAACTCCTTACATCTCCATTGGCCATTTTGACTGGATAAGATGGGATCTTACAGCCATTGGTTGATGAGTGCATTTTTATTGAGTCTTAATTATTGTTTTATATGTTTTACTCTATTGTATTTTATACTGTGTTTTGTTTTATGCTCTGTTTTTAGGCACTTTGTGCCATGTCTAATGCTGCCCCGAGTCCCTTCAGGAAGTAGTAGTAGTAGTAGTTGTTATTATTATTATTATTATTATTATTATTATTATTATTATTATTATCTGGAGGAGCTGCTGCCTCATTATCTTTGAGTTAATGCCATATTTTCCCTGTATTAACCAGTGAGTGCTTTTATTTCCTTCGCCTCATGCCATATCAAATTTTTGTTTGTGAACTCCTGAGGAAAGTGGTGTGTTTTGCAGTTCTGTAAAGTGCCATGTAACCTGATAGCTACATTTATAATACATCAATAAAAATAACAATGTTCAAGCCTTCTGGTTCCTTCCTATAATCTATTAAGCATAAGCATAAGGTTGGGCATTTAAACTTAGCTGAGAATTCTCCTGTCTCATTCCAAAATGCTTATTTTCATT